TTTGGCTATCGAGACTATTACAAACTTGGTCCCATTGCTGTTTGCTTAGCTGCTTACAATGTTCTTCGATCTGTTTGTTCAGCTTGGCTATGCGCTTGCGCAAGGGCCTGTTGTGCCTCTGTCCCCGCCATCTATTCTGCAGTGATTGTTTGGCCTCCCACATGTGTGCGAGACGGCTATCAATCTGCTCTAGGGGTGGACTTGAAGTGATACTCCGCGTTGCCTCGCTGACGTCGTTATTGACATCTTTGATCCAATTTTCTATATTGCTGATAGGGTCTTGTTTTTCGCGTTTCTGACTTTCCGAAACTTATCCCAGTCAGTCCATCTAATCTGTCTCTGAATTTTTGCGGCAGCCATGGTTTCTATCCTGATTTCTAATATTCGATGATCACTCCCCAGATCATCGAATGTGTTTTTCCATTTAGTGGTCCCCGCGTTATGAACTAACGTTAAGTCTGGAGTGGTGTCTCTTGCAAGCCCAGTTCCCATACGCGTAGGGGAGTCGAGGTCAGTGATAAGAGTTAAGCCTGTTTCTTGAATATCCTGCCATAGCGTTTTTCCTTTGGCTCTTGTGTATCCGTATCCCCAAGCACTGTGTGGAGCGTTAAAGTCTCCACCTATGACGAGTGGATTGGGTCCCACTATATCTACGGCCTTCTTAAAGAGAAGAAGGAAGTGTTGTCGTATGCGTGTGGGATTGCTGTACAAATTCAGAATAAATATGCTCGGAGATTTTTTTTTCTTTTTTGGGGGCAAGTTGTACGAGTGTATGTTCAATTTCTGTGATGCGGGTTTCGTGGCAGATTGCTACGAGTCCCTTCCTTACTAGAGTGGTTAGTGTTCTAATATCCCCTGTTGAGGGGCCGATCGCCTGATATCCCGGTAGCTTAGCTAAAGCATGGGTTTCCTGCAAAATTAGAACATCCGGTTTGGTTCTGTCTCTAAGGTGTTGTTGCAAGACTGCTCTCTTCTCCTCATAGCTCCTGCAATTCCACTGCCAAATAATTAAGTCTCTTTTTCTCGGCTTCGCTATTTTGAGTTGGCTATCGAAAAGGGAGGAGGGTGAAAGGAGGCAGGCCTCATGAAATTAGTTGATATAGCCACTGATGTGGTGCCCTGAGATAAGTGTGAATTTCCTTCAGTGCTTATCGGAAGATTGGTAGCTGGAAGTACCGGAGGTGTCCTAGGGTTGAGATTGGCTACGTTCGCTTCGAGTTTATCTAGTCAATTCATGATCATGGCTATTGCAAGCGAGAGGTTGTTGGTTGCCTCTGCCTGTTCCTTAACTGCTTTCTGTATTTTGGACAATGTTTGATTAATGCTCGAGGTTTGCGACGTAGTTTTGTCATTAGACACCTGAGCTTTCCTTTTAAGAGGTGGCGGGGTACTGTCCTCGTCCATTCGGTTATCTGGCATTTCTTCGAGGCACTCTTGGGCTGCGGGACGCATTTGACTAGAAGTTCTATTTGTGCAGTTTTTAAGACTTTGAATTTCCGGAGTAAGTTGTGATATCAATTCTCTAAGCTCAGCGTTTCCTTTTTTCAGCTCCGCTATATCACTGACATTATGCGCAGTCTCCCACGAAGGCTCAGGGCGCGTCCCTTTAGCCACGTCTGACCAGCTCACCGTGAATGCCGGGTTCCCTTGATGGCCATTGCCACCCTTTGGCTTAGACCGGGATCTGGAACGGGATGTAGTGCGCCTTCTCGGTCCCGGAGACTGGGTGGTGTGGCCGCGGGGCGTTGCGCAGGACCAGGACCTTGATCTGGACCCAGGCGTCGCCCTCGTCCGGAATTTGGACTTCCCGCGTTCGGTTGGCTTGGTGTTAGGGGGGTAGTTCTCCTCGAGCGTCTCTTGAAGTTGTCGGAACCACTGGCGTTGTTTTACGATGTAGGGTGTCTTGAACTTGGCCTTGCAGAGTTTGTCAGCCGTGGATGATCCTTGCCGCACAGCTGACATCGTGGCTGACAGTGGTGGTCCTCGCTCGGATCAGGCGTTCCACAACCCGCACATAGCTTGTCGTTTGGCCTCCAACACACGTCACTCCTGTGCCCAAGTCTGTTAAATTGTTTGCAAAAGTCAACTTGTTTCCTGTATAGTGAACAGCGTGTGAGCACTCCTCTGTACATAACGTGCGTCGGGACTCTGCTGCCGTCAAAAAGGACTATCACTGTCGTGGTGTTGCCAAGACATTTGGCTGCGATCGCCGTAGGATTTCGGGCTGTAATAATAGCTGCGGTGATGTCCCGTGGGGTTTCGTTCAAAGGAACTCCTTTGATTACACCTTTGGCAGCGAGTTCCGGGGCCGTCTCGTATGCTCCCACCTCATACAACTTGTCGTTGGCTTTGATGTGCTTGATGCCTTGGTACTTGTCTGCATGGTCTTGGTTTGGGGTGCTAACGACCAAGATGTTCTGAAAATTATTCGGACAAATCGTGTCCGTCTCTCTTTCTTCATAAGGGATCTCGGCCGCTTCATACACAGCTTTGATTAGCTCCGTTAAGCTGAGCTTGGATAGCTGCAGTCCTCCTCTTGGCCTTATAAATATCTTGAAGTCGCCTGTCGGCAGTCTTGGCATTTTGCTGGCTCTGGTTATCCGGGATATCAGATTTGCACCGCGCGTTCTAGGTGTTCGGGTAGGGCTAGGGCTACCACGGCGTTCCTGGCTACCTTTCTTTGCACGTTTTCTGTATCGAACTTCTTCCACCCGTTGCCTGTGTCATCTTCCTGTTGGGTGACGTCTTCGTCTTCTCGTTGGGTGGCGTCTTCATTCTGCTGCGATACCTCCATTATTGATGATTACGGCCTGTATGGCACGAACGCCGACGCCTGGCAATTGTGAGGCCGCCCCAGTCGACGCGGAGCGCCGGTCGTAGGAATAGTAGACGCTGCTTGGTGGGGGCTGGTTTTCGGTCGTAAAATCTCAAAAAATGATCACCCACCTTAGAATATGGTCTCTTCGGATTCTCGGTGACGAGAAGAATCGGATGGTATATAAATCCGAGCGGTGCCTGACTGTATTCGCTGCGAAATCATTCTATGAGAACGGAGCTGACGTGAAGAGCGTCCATTCACCTCGGTGACCGCAGCGCCTCCCCTTCGAAATGCTTGAAAAGTCCTTGAATTTTCGGCCAAATGTTGTGTGCAAAACCTGAGTAATGTGCACAAGCTTACTGTAGCTCAGCCCACACCGCTGTTTACTGAACTCATTTGAAACGAATATTTGCATATTTTTGTGATATGTACTACCAAGGCCTTAGAATTTGAAAAAAATATATTGCCTGCCCTCAGAGTGTTCACACATAAAAGGGCCCTGCAACACTTTTTGAGCATGGTCAGAAAATGCTGCCGATCGGTAGTAAAGGCTCCGGAGAACACGCGAGCGAAATATTGTAGCGCTGCACGTGGCCAAGAATTCACAATAAATTATCAAAGGCAGCTAAACATTGCTTTCTCTTCTCTCGACAAATGACATAAGACGCTCAAAAACCACTTCTAGAAAGCCCATCTATCAGCCATTGGGTGATTTGAACATGGCGGGCACGGTCGTGACAGAGATCGCCGCGGGAGCCAGTGACTTGTCCATGTGTGCACGTGCGATCACACTGAAAAAGCCACGCATTCGAAAAAAAAAAAAGTGCTCGAGGTCACGAGGTGCACCTGGTGTATTTTCTTTGCGCCTGCCATCCCTCCCTGCTTAGCTTCCAGATCTCCAGCATGCGACAAAGCTTTGTAACTCCATTCGCACTGGACCGATTTTTAAAACTTTTGCAGCATTGAATTCGTATGGCAATAAGCTCTTCCAGTTAAAAAACACCAGACGGTCGAAATTTCTGGTGCCCTCCACTTCTGTGTTCATAATCGTATTGTGGTTTTGGGACGTACAACTACAGATATTATTCCTATTATCCCCTGGGAATTGATCGCCTTGCTGCTTGCCATTGCATTTCGCATGAAGAGTTCACCAAGGCCACATGTTCGAAGTAATCATGATTCCCACGCTCCTATAATGGAAAATATGCCTTGCCGCGTGGATGAGTTTCATTTTTACCTTTAAAATGCATTTCTATCAAGCGGCAATTTTTGCCAACTTCCTGAGTTTGGACATCATGTTTCTGATATTTCTAATGGCCAGATCTGGATGCAGTTTGTTCCACGTATAACTTAAGATGTGAAGATAGCATTTAACTTCTTTAAGATGTGGCATCACTTATATAATTTTAACAAACTTAAAGTAAGCAAGCAGTATGAGCTGTTCATTTAAAGACGTCTTATACTATAACATTACTTGTTCATTAAAATGACCTATAGATACTTCCTAGAATGTTTTCTATATTTTAGAGTTAATGTGGAGCAATATGAGCCATTAATGGCTCATAAATATAGAAGTGTAGTCATGGAAGGGGTTTGTCTAAAAATAAATACATTTTACATTGTCGTGGCGGTGGAAGCCCCCATGACAAGAAAAATACAAGAAAAAGAAATACTAAGGCTTCCTTAGTCATCTGCTTAAAGTGGCTAAGCAAGTCGGGTGTTACACGGCTGAGCTTAAGGATGAGGGCGATTCTCGGCCACGACAACCATACTATGAAGCAAGATAAATGAAACACCAGCTGCCTACATACACCAGCTGCCTACATACGTTAGAAGAAACTCAGATGGTTCAAATATTTCCAGTCCCCTCACTATGACATGATATTGTGGTTTTGGCATGCGAAACCCGAGATATTATTTCTTGGCTGCTACATTGGTTTTCTAGACAAGCAGCAACATAAACTGAGTTAGAGAAAATAACTAATGTTATAACCTGTTTTCTACACAATTGTTTTCTTTCTGCATAGCATTACCTCAATGCTGTGCAACCTTCCAAAAATGACGCCAATTTTAATTGTGGAGATGCTTTCACAGAAAATTATTTTGGTGATTTTTAGGCTTGCCAGTGTTAGCTCTAGGGTGTAGACAGACATCATATGCCATTCATTTAATGCAAGAAGGGAAGTCATGCCAGTACTGCTTTATTCAACTTGTTTTCTTCCACTGACTCCACTGAAATATTTTCACTTTATTCGTTTTATTTCAACAAACCTCGGCCTTAATGTGAAGTCTGGGTGCACTGCCAGCAGCTTGAACATCTCACTATGCTCTTGAGCTGCCAACATGGCTTGAATGAGGGGCGGATGCGACAGTCCTACTTCTATAAATAGATGCCCTCCAACTTTGAGCCTTGTCTTTGACAACTGCAGAATGCCTCGCACAACGTCCAAACCATCAACGCCAGCAAAAAGAGCTGCATGGTCTTCATGCCTGAAGACATAATTGAAACCTTTAGAAATACATTTCCACAACATGGCAACTGAATTGTTTACATCCACAATAGAACACATTGTATATTATGTCTTGGTGATAGCTGACAGATATATATATATAAAAAGAGCTGCTTTCTCTACATATTGATCCCCCAGTTGTTTGCTGTCATGTAATAAAAATACAAGTGACAGTGCCTAAGTGTTACAGGAGGAGCTCTCAAAGCAGAAACTCTAAGGGAGACCTCCTGTGAAATCTGCATACAAGAAACAACAGTACAATAAGCAAAACAGACAGGTAAAGTTAACAAGAACAATACAATATACAAAATTTAAAACATGCTTGTAGTAAATATGGGTTCTTAAGTATTAAATTAGCAACATTAAAATTGAAAATATTTCAATTGTGGCAAAGATCGCAGGAAGGCAATTGACACTTTAGACAATGCACAAAGACATGGTAAATAAGCATAGGGATTACAAAATAGTGTGATAGGTGAAGGAACGCAAAAAACTGTTCAGCTTTAAGTTTGGATAAATATTTCTTAGCTATTTAATCAGTGGACTGAAAAGTGCAAACTGCTCTCTTTAACCAAATAATTAAATAGCATGTATTAATGGCTGTGAAGATAACATGCTTTTATCATAGTTTTATATAACAATGCAAACAAATGGTGCTGGTGTTATGGGAGTACAAGTATGGAAGTTCAGATAGCGTGAAAAAAGTGGCTTGCACATGGATTTGCCTTAAGCTTGTGCTTTTAGTTTCAAACCACTTTTTAACTAGGCTGATTGCAGCTTCCGACACTTATAGGGACAATTTACAATAATCAATTGTGCCTGTTATATAACCAACTGGAATGCATTAGGAAAATGTGATTCTTTGAAAGTTTAGAAGAATTGAAAATTGGGTAACATCTCAAAAGTACCTAAAGGTGCAAAGGTGAAATTATTTTTTGTATCATATATCACTTTCATGGAAGGTCAATGATAGTAATTTTTTACTGAGCAGTTTGATGAAGGCCTCACAGGACAACTACTGGTGGAAAGAGACCATCACTAGCAAAAAAAAAAAAAAATGTGCCAGGTATTCAAAAATGCACAGCAGCTAACCCCTAATTCCCCTCTAAGTGTAAAATCACTCTATTAGGGTTTTGAAAGTGAAAAAACACAGATGAAGAAGTAGACATGACGACGCCTGGGTGTTTTTTGCGCTCATAGAGTATGAATGGAACTTTACATACTAGCCCAGTTGTCGACCTTGCGATACAATCACTCACCTCAATACTTCTGGCTCAATTGAGCGCGACTCTTCAATGGCAATATAAGGGGGATTACTGACGATGACATCATAAACTGTGCCGATCAAGTGAGGTAGCAAACATTTTAAGCCAGTTGATGTCACCTCAGCCACGTAGCAGGACACTCTTTTTGACATGCCCAGTTGCGAGGCATTTTCTTCAGCTAGTTTGACAGCCAGAACATTTTTGTCAATGCCTGTGTAATGAACCTGGAAACGTGAAATATGAATACAGGTGCATTAATTTAAGTAGCGTGCTTTCTCACTCAATTGTCAGAAAACAAAATGTCTGGCAGTTTTGTGCACATGGGCAGCTTTTCACACACCAGTGTCCTGCAGACTATATGTTTTATGACAGTTAGATTCCTTGATGTGTACTCACGAGCAAGGGCTTTTTTAATATGGCATTTAGTAAAAACAAAGTCTGTGTTGTCAACTTATAACCTACTCCCCTCCCCCTTTTTTTGTACAGTCATATCTAAATTGTGGGTTTACCTTTTCATGCAAAACACACCATATACCTTTTGGGTATTGAAATCTCACTTGAAGTAACTCAACTCTAAATGTCCCTTCATGCTTGACAGTGTTAATCATTCGCAGGAAATCTCAGCAAAGCTGTGCTGTGCACATGCTGGAACTACCCATGCATTGCATATGCAAGCACCCAGATGGCATCTTAAGTGCTCCGTATTACGTGAGATAACAGTACGCAATATATCCTCGCGACGCCCCCGATTACACACGGCATAACCGATTCCGCTGAAAACGCTCACATACCTTAGTAGTTCGGGAAGCAAGCGCGAGGCAAATGGCACCTGTGCCGCAGCCGACGTCTAAGATACGTTCAATGCCACTGTCGCTACGGTTAATGTGCGACAGGACAACGTCTACAAGCATTTCTGTTTCTGGTCTTGGAATGAATATTGGTCGGCACATTTTCAGGGGCAGTCCGTGAAACTGCCACTCTCCCAAGATATATTGAACAGGCAACCTATACGAACAAACAAACAGGTGTGAACGTGTTAATACGTGCAGCAGTTGCGCGTAATTGGACGAATAACCTTTGCGCTCTTCTTTGGCAGTAGTAGTTTAGTCGATGCACATGTCGAGGTAGGATATGCTTCGCGCTCTCTGGTCGTGTTTGAATCTGTGAATGAAAAGAGTTTGAAAAAATATATGTATATATCTGTTTATTCTTCACCCACCAGATGAAATGTGACGTACTTACAGACCTCTAATGCCGCTCTTCTACCGAGTACACTGCTGAGAAAACAGTCAAGTGAAGCTCTAGCCTCCCCTGGCTCGATTCCGGCACGGATAAAAGCGCGCATCCAATAATTTGTGAATTGAACGGCTGAGCGCGGACACGCCTGCCTCATGTTGCTGAAAATATACAACTGGCAGGACAAAGCGAAGACACATCGGGTGGAATAATGCAACACAGTCTTGTACGCGTTCCAGAATGGGACGAAGGCGTCCCGTTCGTTGCGTCAAAAAGTGGGCGCCCCGCATCGGTCGCGAGGCCGAGGGTACAAATATACACTAGAGGGAACTCTGGCGCTAGTGTCTACGGAAGCTGCAACGCACGGCGCTTCAGCGAGCATGGGAATGATGGCTAGTACACACATTTGTCTAAACTTCGTACTTCTGGCCTGCTCTTGGCTCCGTGTGTGTTTGTGTGGCTTCAAGCTGTTTTCTCACGAAACAAAAATCAGCAAATGTTCAGCGATTGCGCTTCACCGCCCTATTTTTTTATTTACCTTTACAAGTTGGGTCACGAAGTTCAAAAGGGTTGAATTTTTCTTTTAAGAACTAAATCAAAACACAGCAATAAACAAAGCCGCAAGTACGATTCACCACCCACAAGTACGAAGACTAGGTAAATGTGTGTGCCCTCTAGTTAATTTTAAAGTGCCCTCTAGTTAATTTTAAAAAACTCTATGGCCACACTCTTTCCCTCTTTTATTTTAAAATGTTCTCGGTCGCTAGCGTCACTTGTGGCGGACGGTGCAACAACGCAACACTTTGCATTACCTCCGAAACAGTGGTGCACAGTTGCAGGTCTCGAACAACTCTCGACTGACGCGCCCCTATGAGCCGCAGATGAAAAACGCTTAGCTGGTACCGGCCGCCGCCGTGATGATAGTGTCGATCGCGAGCGTCACCGTGCGGAACTTGTTTAAAACTAAAGGCAGGCCAACTCCGCTGGGAGCGCGAACCATTCCTCAGGCAACTTTTTAGAGGAGGCGTTGACAAGAGCATGTACAGCTAGAGGGGGGCCGCGCCGCACCTCGGCTGATTCTCCGACAGGTGACAGTAGCGGCGGCGCTGTAGTCTCATGGTACATAAAACAAGGAAAACTCATTGAACAGGCACTACCAGCATTGATATACCCAGATGATATAGTGCTAATGGCCGACAACAAGAAAGATTTGCAGAGATTGGTGGACATCTGCGGTAATGAGGGAGATAGGTTAGATTTCAGATTCAGTAAGAAAAAAATCAGCAGTCATGATTTTTAATGACAATGAAGGCAGTGAGCTTAGAATACAGGAGGTCACGTTAGAGATAACAGATAAATACAAATATCTGGACGTATGGATAAGCAATGGGGCCGAGTACCTGAGGGAACGTGAAATATATGTGTCGACTAAGGGTAAAAGGAATGCAGCGGTAATGAAAAACAGGGCATTGTGGAATTACAATAGGTATGATGTTGTGAGAGGAATATGGAAAGAGGTCATGGTTCCTGGTCTGACGTTCGGCAATGCGGTCTTGTGCATGAGATCAGAAGTTGAAGCAAGATTAGAAATCAAGCAACGTGGAATAGGTAGGCTTGCTTTAGGAGCTCACGGGAATACACCAAATCAGGGAGTACAAGGTGATATGGGATGGACATCATTTGAGGGCAGGGAAGCTAGCAGCAAGATAAAATTTGAGAAGCGATTGAGAGAAATGGGGGAGGAGCGTTGGGCTAGGAAGGTTTTTAGCTACTTGTACATAAAGAGTGTCGATACAAAATGGAGGAAGTGAATCAGGAAATTGACTGGTAAATACTTAGAAAGCCGCAGGTGGCCAAACCAAAAATAACTATCGGTTGAAAAGAAAGTGAAGGAAACGGAGACTGACATGTGGAGAATTGGCATGATTAAGAAGTCCGCACTAGAGATATATCGAAGTTTTAAGCAGGAAAATTGCCAAGGAAAGGATTTGTGATAATACTCGGAGTAGTTCTCTACTGTTTGAGGCCAGGACGGGAGTATTGCGAGCCAAGACATATCGGGCCAAATACGAATGGGTATAAACACGGTATGCAGTGTACGTGGAGAGTAGGTAGAAACTGTGGAACACTTGATAATGTTCTGTAAAGGGCTTCACCCTATAGTTCAGGATGATGGCGCAGAGTTTTTCAAAGCACTGGGGTTTAGGGACAGGGAGGGCAAAATAGACTTTAAGCGGGTAGACTTAACTAGAAAAAGGTTATCTGATTGGTGGCAAAAGTCAAGGCACGAGTGAAAATTAAACCCTTCACTGCAAAGTACGAATCCTCAACCTCACTATTTAAAGAAAAAAAAAGATAAATCTAATGGTTAGTTCACTAAGTATTACGGCTAGGTCAACGTTTCTAGACTAGGTAAGTTGCAAAACTCCCGCCGTCAGACTACTCGTCACTCGGCGCCGGGACAGCTTCCAGTTTGGTGGCACTGGCGGCGCAACAAGCTTCCGCTAGCAGACGAAGACGCGTAGTCGTCGTGTCAAGACGCCGTGGCGGCCGTTCTGAAAGATCTCTGCCAACAGTATATTATCGAGATTTGTTGTGAATCCGCAGAAACTTAGTACTGCGTAATATTTAGCGGCGTGAGGCAAACACAGTATAATTATCGTTTTCTGAACTGCCCACAATAAACAATGCTTGATATATATAGCATAACATACGAGCCTGTCGGTTAGTTGCTAGTTGGTGTACGTTCGCAATATATTTTTAGACGCGAAAACCCCAATTACAATGTCTGGCATCCTCTTTTTGTGTCTGTGTTTTTCGGGCTTGAAAATAAATTACAACTATGTGACGCAATCTCGTGGCTTTTGTCTGGTTATGTAGTCAGCTTTTTTTTTTTCATGTCAGTCACATTCTTTAGGAACTTAGACCGTCGAGAAGCTACGCGTGCGGCCATTTTCTTGAGCGTGTCTTCCCTTTGCTTCTTCTGGATTTCCTCTAATGAAACATGTTAACACAGCTGCAGCCAAAGCTTCGAGCAGAGACCGCACTTTGGGGTATCTGTGATCACTTCGTAGTCATTACTCACGAGTCTGCCTGCTGACGCACTGGGACAACATCAACACACTTCCAGATTTTCTATGTCCTCCAGAAGTTCGGCCAATTGGGTGATGGTATCTGCATTGCCAGGCGACTTGGCTAAGCGATGGGGACGCGGCTGCTAATGGTGACTGTCATGTCTTCTGCGACGACAACGCATTTCTCCACAAATAGCGCTCTTTTTTTTTTCTTTGAGCCCTAGAAACACCACAAGACGTCTCACCATTCTCAACAAATTTCCGCCATCATGCAAACAACAGTTTTCTATGTCTTGAAGCGATATGACGCCACTAGTTGACGGCATGTCGGGACTTATTTCACTGTCTTCGAGCTCAGTGCTCGGAGATAGTCTATTCTTTTTTGCCGATGATATTCTGGAAAATACCCCACTCCTATCGGGCAGCTTTCTCTTCTTTGTCGCGGGCCCCACGACAAGGCTAAGTGGGCAAGGTAAGCGGGCGAATGCGGGAATATTCATGGAACGCATCCTTCGACAAGGTCCCACTTTCCTCTTGCGATTTGTACTTTCTTATTATATGACGTGAGTGAAAGTCTTCAGGATGTCCTTCTCATGAAAGTGCATATCACACATACGTGAGGCGCTGGGCAGTTTCTTATTTGCACGAGGAATAGCGTGGTTCCATACCTCTCGCTGCTCAGGTACACGTGGGCACAAAAGAAATGTCGTGGTGTCTCTCATTTCCTGTAGCTACTCTACAGCCGAGAACGCAACATCTGGGCATGATGAAAACACGCAACACATACAAAGCAGAACAGGGCGCACTGAAGCACAAAACTGTTCACGCAGAAAGAAGCCTCCACAGATATCGACGCACTGCAACATGCACAGGCGATGGAGGTTACGGGAGTGACACGAGCGAGCTAGGTGTTCATGAGCGAGCATGCAGTAAGTGAATCCGGATGCGACAGCAGCGCCACATTTGTCGCTGGCAGTGGCAGCGTTGCGCAACATCGCTCAGTTTTGCAACTTACCTAGTCTAGAAATGTTGGGCTAGGTAGCGTTAGCCGTCGCCCTATCTAAAGGGTACAGCCACATCAATCCATCCATCCACTGAAGATTTCGGAAGCGTCTGCATTGAGAGCGCGCGCGCTGTAGCCGGCAAAAGCGTGTAATTGCTCGTTCTTAGCGCGTTCATAGCGTGTATGAGCCTTTATCAGTGTATGAACACCTGCTACGCGTCATAGTGCACGAGTAAATATGCAGGCACGCCGAAATCGCGTTCAGACATTCACTGTTTCGGGAGCCTACCGACACACATACACAAAAGCCATGTACAATCGGACTCTGCACGGATTTCTCACTCTCAAGCAGAGCTTTGAGCTGCGCTACATCATAAGTGTCTACTGGCGAGCTACAAAGAAAGAAGTATCAAAACCGTGATTAAATCATACGCTAGTTTTGTCGACAGTGCAGGGCACTATTCATACAAGTCCCCATGTGCTCGATTGTTTCACGAGAAACCATAAGTAAGGTTGAACAACATTTATATCAGTGATGACACTGCTTTATCATGCCAGTTTTGTGGAAGATAATAATTAATGCTTTCCGAAAAGCTTATCTTGTTCTAACTGCATGCTTTCGCGCTTACTTTGGTTCTTTTATGCAAGCGCCAAGTGCCTCTATTACCAGAAGGCCGAGCCAGGGAGCCGAGCTTAAGGAACGCATCTACCCCCGAGCTATGAACTCTGCGCGAAAGGGGTTATCTTAAATAAATTAAAAAGTGCCAGTTGTATATATAGCTCATCTGTTAATCTGCGTAAATTCACTGTAACCAGTTCTCATTTTGTATTGACAGCTTAAAATGTGCTGCTTTATAATATTTATTGGGGTAACGCCATCGCAGCCAGCAATTTATGACAATGCTTTGTTTTATAAGAATATTTCTTTTATCAAGTGTCAAAAGTGTAGGCAGGCAGGGGTGCATTTTGTTTTGACAAATATACCTTGTACACAGTAAACACGCACACATACACTTAAATATATATTGTTACGGAAATTAGAAACACACGGAAGAGAGGAACGAGTGTATTTCCAATATTTACAGGTAGGTGTGGACACCCCAGGGCTGCTAGCATCTCGCGCCCGAGTCCGCTTCTTCATCGATTCGTCTTCGACGGCGGAGCCATGCCCACTGCCTTTTAACATCACCCCCGTATGACGAAGCGCGATCACGGCGCCGTTAAGTCAATCAGGACTGGC